TGCAGATTTTTTCTTTTACGTTTACTCAAACCCAATCAGTGCATAAAGACAGTCCACTGTCCAAAACAGTTTTTTCTTTTTTGGGGACCAAGTCTTTGCATCAAAGATCTAGAATAAGGAAAATCACCAGCCTTTTCTGAATTTTTTCTCTTGAGGTCAAACACCGATCAGCACATGAAGACAGTCCATTGTCCAAAACAGTTTCATCCTCTTTCTTGTTGCATCACAGATCAAGACTGAAAGAGACTTTTGGGTGACACCAACCCCTTGAAACTTTATGCCTCCCATCTCTTGTACAAAGTCAAACACCTGATCAGCACATAAAGACAGTTCATTGTCCAAAACAGTTTTATCCTCTTTTTCAAGGACCAAGTCTTTGCATCAAAGATCAAGACTAAGGAAGAGATATTTTGGGTGACACTAGCCTCCTGAGAGGCCAGCTTTATGTCTCCCATCTCTTGTACAAAGTCAAACACCTGATCAGTGCTTAAAGACAGTCCAGTATCCAAAACAGTTTGGATATTCCTGTATATTTTTTAGGTCTTTTTCTTGGACTTAACAACACTGTATTTTATTTTGTATAAGTTTACTTATCTCATGAAATTACCTGCACTACCACAACCGCCAAGAGATAACAGGAAGAGTATCTCTCTATCTTATGTAGGAAACAAAGAAGTTATCAGTGACAGTTACAAAAGATATTATTGAGTTCTACAGTTAAAAAGTGTTTTGCTCTAATCTGGGTATTAAAATGCAGTTACAGTGTGTGTATGTTTGTGTTTAATTTAAACAACCTTTTAGAGATCCTTTGAACCATTTGAAAGGTGAAAAATTGATTTCGGTTCAACTATATGTGCATACTTTATTTGGAAATTTTTTATTCAGCAGGGAAGGGGAGAGCTGGTTAAGACTGTTTCTAAATAAATGTTCTATGCATTTAGGAATAAGAAAAAGCATAAGAAAAAAATTTCTCATCTTCCTATGCACTTCACATCTAAGGTAAACTACAAACAAACCAAAACTTTGTTTACCAGGATCTTGTTTACCTGTGTCAGCCAATGACTGGAATTCACAATAAAGCAATCATCAATAAACGTGGTTGAAGGTTGGCATACATCCTGAAAAAAAACAACATATTTTTAATGTTTTCCTTGCAACATCAGTTTACACAAAAAGTTTGATAACGATCCAATAACAATTTTCCATTTCTGGGAAACAGTTGGCAAACAAAGTTGATAGCTTTTGTATTTTGCAATCAGTCATTTGGTGTTAGTCATGTAGTCAGTTCGTAAGTCAGTCAAGAAGTCAAAGTTAGTTGACTTAGCTGAAAGTTAGTCAATAAGCTGGTAAACCCAACACAATTTTAATTCACTTTTAGCTACCCAGGACTTCACCCCCTCATGTGTCAATTCCCTATAAACAAGGTAGGCAACAACCAATTAAGAATTGCTTTAAATAAGATTTGAAGAAGATGACCACCTTGGTAAAGCACCTACCAGAGAGAAATATGAAAACAATTTCCTTCTTGCAATCCCATTACTTCCATTCAGACAAAACTGGCTTCAAACAGAGTTTTCAATGTTAAACTTCCATATATGATCATTAAATATTCATCTCCTTTGTAACAATTGTTAAACTGATCATTTTAATTCTTATCAAAATCTTCCATTTGCTGGCATACAAGCTTGCTCCCTGAGTTTCACATAAAAACTCCTCTGAAAGGACATGTAGAAATTGGTTAGCAAAATTTGAGTTAATATGTTCTTGGAAACTCAAAATCTTTTTTTGGCTAGAGATGTATGAAATGTATGCCAGAATATATGATAAAACAATATCAATATTTTTATCAAAACCCATTCAGAAAGTTAAAAGTCAACTGAAAGAACTCATGAAGATCTGGAGGTGTTTTAGGTCTCACTTTGTGAGTTTGCTTGAAAGCTTCCAAAGTATACCTGGTAATTAACACCAGAATATTCGCCGGAGCTCTAGCGGGTGCCAGGTCTCATTGAAAGTACTGATTAAGAAGCCCTTGTTGGTATGCCTGCATGAAAGCTTTCAAAATATATTTTTTTCTTCATTCAATACCTTTTCACCCACTCAAAGAGTGGAGACGGCAAAATATCTTTGGTTAGGCTGTGGAGGAGACTAAAGCAGCACCAAAGCAGTTTAAATTTGCCAACAATTACTCAGACATCAATGGTAATAGACCATAAAATTTATGTGTCTGAGTTTATTTCAGATAAATTGGAAGGGTTTTTTGCTATCCATTGAATGAGATTTTCATTGGAATCTTTTGGAAGTAAATGTTCTTTTTCTTTTACAAAAGTGCAAACATCAGTTACTTAGTGGTCCACTTCAATGCACCCTAGTAAACCCAACACAATTGTAATAAATCTCTTTTTTCATGCACACTCTGTTTCATCTGTGCTATAGAACAATTGGTTCATGCTATGCACATATATCAAGATATGGATGTAATTGGGAAGTTTGGAGAGCACTCTGAAGGTTAGAGATGCTCTTAAGTTTGCCTCAAGCAACTCTTATGCTTCTCTCCTGTTCTCCAAACTTTCAGTTTGCATCCGTATCTTGATAAATCTTCACTAAGCATAAACCGATTGTTAAATCAGCAGAGTCCACACTACCTACATACAACTATCTGCTATGAAATGGATACATCTATTGACATTCTCTTTCACTAGATTCACCCCAGCTTGTAGGCTGTCTACAATGGATAGTATACCGCAGATACAGCATACAGCTATCTACGCTTTCTACAACAGATGCAGCTATTTAGCTGCATACGAGTGCAGAGCTCTCAGGAAAATATTTAAATTTCCCGCGTTCAGGTACTAAAACAATTTAAAGTGAATTAAACAGTTCCTTACCACGCATAAAAATAAATTGAACAGGAGAAACGTCTTAAGAATTAAAATGAAATAGAAAACACCGTGCAAAGCAGAACAGCCTCAAGAACTACCTTGATGCCTGGACGACTTTCAGATGTTTCTGTGTCCGCCAGCGGTGAGTGCGTGAACATAAACATTCGCCGTTTTTGTGTTCTTAAGCCTCTGTAACCATTCCAATGATATTCAGCGGAAGGAGCCATATATCGATAAAGGTGATTTACTAGCCAAGTGATGCAGAAGGGGCATTTTGTCACGAATTTTCATGCCAAAGAAAGGAGTTCCTTCCTGCAGCCATACTTTGCATGCGCGACGTAGTCACGATGGTGACTTGAACCCAGTCTTCTCTCCATTCCCTTTAAGAACCAAACAACCTGGGTGAGGATACAATACTTGCGTAAGTAATAACATGGCTCCTGACCGAGAGATTATGAAAAATCTCTTGCTCCTGACTACGAGAAGTACCTACGTTTTGGCGAAGTCCGTTGCGGGACTGGAAAAAGAAAACAATGCCAAAAAAAAAAAATGTTAGCGCGGACTGATTTGTTTCCCCTTCGATTTTCCACGCGTTCCATGGGAAAGAGCGAGATCAGATCCCGCGGGAACCTAGGCTGACCCCAAATTCCGCGGCCAGTTTGTCTTCTCTAAGAGACATAATTAAACTGAATGGTCTGAAACTGAGATATATTTTGACTAATTTGGCATTAAAGTGGTATTGGATTTAAAAACAAAGGTACCAAGATTTCTAAAAAAATCCCATAGTAAAAAGTTAAAAGTTTCGTTGAGAAATATTAACGGCAGCAGACCAGAAAGCCATAGATAGGCCAAATTTGGCGTTGAAATATGTTTAGGAGTCATTTTCCATCCTCCAATACGGTATTTTTTTTATTTAAGTCCGGACTTGGGGATCATTTTGTTCACCGGGATCACATACACATTAGTTGCACAGATGTAACGTTCTCACCTCGTTTATGACTCGCCCTTTCTACCCGCCTCGTGCTCGCGTGTACTAGAAATATTAACGCAAAAAATCTTTTCTGCCGCTATCCTCCAAGAAATATTAAGAAAGGAATATTGAGAAAGGCACGGGAAGACAACATATGCGTAAGAGGCTGCGAGAACGGTTGACATATAAGTCTCCTAACTTCCTCATCCTGTCGTTGTTACACCTGAGGAAAACTGGTATGAAAACCATTGGTATTGACCACTCGAATGATGGAATCATTATATTTTCGTACTTTATCAGTCCTTACAGTAATCATTTTGACATTATCGATATATATTGAATTCATTTTACCGTATTTTGATTGGCTGAGTCTTATAGTGCCCCCTATTACGTCGTGAGCTTTTCCTACGCTCGAGACAAATACCGAACAATTTGGCTTTCTCTTAATAGGATATTTCTCGAGTGAGCACGCTTCAAGGCAGTTTGATTGAACGACTAATCTATCGCCTATCAACAGTATTTACATTCACGCATTGATTGAATGCGTACAAGTATTATAAATTCCGAAACAAACCTAAGAATATATGGTTGTTGAGTAGAATATTTGTAATTTCTGCAAACTGATCTGAATGCGTTCTGTGTCATCTTAAAATGATGACACTTAACGAAAGAAAACAGTGCAATGTGAAAAGATTAGCAGAAATACTTTTCTTTCTATAATATTTATTTGTTCCTCAGCAAACAGATAACAGATTAACTCACAAGCAAAGTGATACCTTAATTTAACTCTACATTCTCCCAAATAATTTGCAGGAACATATATAACAGTTGAAGGGGAGACTATGGTTATTGACTAGGAGCTATATGATTAAGCAAACGTAACTTATAGATGGTAATGAATGGTTTTCATAACTCCTACAATCTTTGTAAGTAAGCAGACTACAATTTTAATTAAACAAGAAATATTACAGCTATAGAAATACAGTTTGCATCTTTTTCACTCATTAAAAAGAGTGATTGCATACGATTTACATTGCGTTTAAACTAAATGAATGTTCTTGAACGACTACTAAGGTAATGAAAATCTTCTTTATTTTCATCCATCCATTGATCCGATCCATCAAACTGCGCGTGAGCCATTACTTGTGGATTTAACTTAAGTCACCCGCCAGTTTCTTAGTATCTTCTTCTTGTTCATCTTTATCCTTTACTTCCTTCAAACGCAGTACTAAATTTCTCATTTCTGACAACATCCTCCTTTGCTCGGTAAGTTGATTCTGAAAATCACGTCGCAGATCTCCAATTTCCTTCTGAATGTCTTCGTTTGTTACTCTACTAAAACGGTCTCTGTCACGATGGCACATCTAAAACGTGTGGAAATCAAACGTCTCAACTTTGAAAAAGAAAAGTACGAAAATTTAGGGCAGCCATGATCACAGGTGTGAAGTATAAACTCTAATGTCCACAATTATGGAATACAGATATGCCTGATATAGAATTTTAAAAATTAGATCGACACGCTATTTCCTTGTTCGTACCTTAATTAAGAGCAATCAGGGCACTGAATTTTGGTAGAAAGTTGTAAATGTTCGCAAATATTAAAATCACACAGACTTGAGCAAAATGTTTTGTGGTATTTTTAACACTGGATACGACAAAGTTCTTCCTTTGATTCTAGAGCCTGACAGCTGCCGTAGAGAGAGCTCCCTCTCCACATTCTTTCAATTTGGTCACAGGAACAACCTCTCGATTAATTGTAGCTGGAGGAGTGTGCCGAGGTATGATATGTTGGCAGATTACTGATGAAACCAAACCATTTATAGATTCAATTTCTAGCCCATTACCCTCCCCGCTCCCCCCTCCCTCTTTCGAACATACCTTGGTGAGCACTGTAATGCCTTCAAATCCCAATGAAACGAAGGGAAATAGTTTATTTCCCTCAGTATACTCCACTGAAGAACGCGCTACTTCTCTACCGTTCAAGGAGAACAACACAGAGACTTTCCCCTCGGGGACTCCACTAAAATCAATTTCACAAGCGATGAGATCACCGCGGTAAGCCATGGCTCCTAAGTTATCAACAGAAAACATTAAGTAAATAGCAAAAAGATAACAAAATAAGCTAAACATGAGGCAACCAACCGTGTAATACCAGGATGTGAAATTGGACTTTTTTCCCTTGTTGTTCGGTCTTGATCAATTACTTACCTCTTCGTTCATTCGAAGACAAAGTTTAATCTCCCTCACTGTATTTATACAAGGAGTGTTGACGATATAAATGATCCTAGTAGCGTCAAGCATTTGTTGATATGAATCTTGTTTTTCTTTGGCCTTAAATGAGTTCTCTGTAGACCATTTGATCGGCAAGCAGAAGGCGAGGGTTGGAACCCTCCACGATCGAAGGATTCAGGGTTTTTTCAGTTTCACACTCTAGGCACATGGATTTTACAGTAACTACGTTCAACATTCTATTGATCACACAGCTACAATACATTTCCCATTTATCTCATGCACGTCAGAATAATCATCTCGAGGAGTCTATAACGATTTTAAAGTGATCCCTATAACGTTCACAAACGAAAATTTCTGAATCTTTTCTTTTGGAAAACAGAAACCTACTGTCGCAAGGTCGCCCTCAGAAGGACGGTAAGACTTTGATTATGTTTCCAAGCGCCAACAGATCCTTGTGGCAGATATCGTACACCTATCGTCAGAGTAACCCATACCTTCGACTTCTCTTCCCAGCTCATGGAAGCCAGTTTCAAATATTTTGCCATCGTCTATATGGTAACCGACTGTTCCACTATACCAGCCAGGCATTTTGTGACAGTCGTACAACTCATGCACAGCACCCAGTGCCACAATACGCCTCTCCCCAGTCTCCTGAATAAGTACCTGCAAAACAATGACGGACTTTCGTTTTTTAGACTCTGTTGTTACGGTCGCCGTAAGTTCCATGCTTTTAATTTTTGTTTCAGTATGCAAATGAGTTTTTTTGCTCATGAGACCGAGGGAATACTAGTTACTTAGACCAAAAAAATAATAATGATGATAAAGACGGTGTTAGCCACAATATAAACAATCAACATCCGAAACAATTAACAAAAGCAGCTATGATAACAACTGCAATAATGATGATGATTACAAAGCAATAGCACTAATATAAATAATAATAATAATAGTAATATAAATGTAAACGATTAATCCAAAAAGGAATTTCGGCTGAATGATAGCACCATCGCACTATTCAAAGGTGGCCATCAAAGTTCGTATAACTTGACTTAATCTTTCATACCCTAACATAATTATGAATATTTTCCATGCTGTTCCCTATACAATTGTGCCGACAAGGAAGAATTATTTAAACAATGAAGAGCTTTCTCGGTTGGTGATCATTTACTTTATCCAAGTGACCCTAATGTTCGACTCAGGGATAATAAAGTGTGGAGACATTGGCATCATAGTCGCTCTTAGGTGTTACAGGGTTAGGTGCCCAAACGAGATCCATGTTGACACGTTACCATGAAAGCAAAGGTGAAAATAGGATACCACAAGAGGAACATAAAGATGTTTTTCAGGAACCGGTCTGGTCTTTCTATTATGGAGGCACCGTTAAGTTCATTCTTAGAAGAATTAGTATCTGTAGAGCTACAAAATAGAAAAGAATACCAGCGCCTACAAGAGGGAGGTTATTTAAGGGAAGAGGGTAAAAAGGCGATGTAATTATGTTGCATCTTCAGAGAATCTATCATGAAGCAGGAAGTATATGAATTAAATTTTTTGCTCGCAAATAATTTTCTATAAATCAAAAGCACACCTCAAATCTTGGTGTCTCTGGTGTAAAGGGAGACTTGAACTTGGCACTGTGAATGTTCTTACGATTTCCACTTTTGCATATGTTGCAGGAATTAGGTCCCACGTAAGTTAGGAGACAGCCATCGACAGCAATTCCCGGCGAATCATACCACGCCTTTAAATGACAATCGAACAAAACTTCAGTAACACGAGGGACCCCTTCAGGCGGCTGGTATGTCACCTGAAAATGTCTGCGGCTGAGACATTGTCCAAGAATGAACATTTGGCCAAGAACCAAAGCTTCAAGGAGAAATTTGAAAACTTAAAGACAATCTCTCGACCGTGGACATTGTCAGCCGACATACCAGCAAGCCAGAAGGGGCTTTATTCAAGCTATAACCCTCCCATTAATTTTCGTATCACGCGTTGAGAGCAAATTTTGTTGACTTTTTTGTACTTCCCGGAGCAGCATTTGAGATCAGCTTTTCTATGTCACTACAAAACAAGTTCGGTTTTTTTTTCAAAGGAACATGGAAACTACACCACAACGTTTCTTGAAAGGTTTTCTCAATCGTACATTTAAATTTGTGTTCGAGGGAAAAGGTTAAAATGCAAATTAAAATGGTTAAAAAAGTGTATGCTGATGGAGCAGAATTCATAGTATATGGTATGGAAACTTCCTGTTTAATTAACATGTGAATGTGTGCCTCAAAAACACTCACTCTGTGGCCAGACGCAAGTTTCTTCTCCTTGTTTCCACGCGGTTGGAATACTTGTCGAACTATCTGATTGGCCAATTTTCGACCTCCCTCGTTTTCATGTACCAAGTGATCTATCTTTTTCCCCTCTAAAACAAAGCGAGGAACCAAATATTAAATTGGCTTCTTCCGAATCTAGTCAGCAAAATCATTACGATACGCCTCGTTATAAATAGATTATCATTACTGGAATTCTTAATTTGTGATTTTTTATTTCTTGTCCGTCATGGTTTAAACTTCTCTAGAACTATTGCTTTGATAATAACTAATAACTAACTTTGCGCCATATACTTTTGTGAGACCATATCATAGATTTCTGGGGCTATCTACTAATCTAACATATCACCCACCTGTTAGGGGAAATTCATAACCATATTTCTCGAAGTACATCCTTTCTAGTTTCTTCACCACTTTATTCAGAGCTACTCTCTGTCGAATCAAAGAAGGCCACATCGAAAGTGAAGTAAAATCACTGAGCAGACGTGAACGATAACTTTAAACAACAGCAGCTTGTGAAAACTCACAAAATTGGCAAGGTGTTATCAGCTTACCCGTCCGCCCTCGAGCGAAGCAGGGGTGTCGCGCCAACATAGGTTCCAGAGTACCATCAGGGGGACAGACAAAAGGTTCAAGGGCACTGGTATCGGATGATAGGTGCTGTAGGTTCTTACAGTAATGGCTCTCTTGAAAGACCACTCCTGCAGTGAGTTATCCTGATAATAGAAGAATGAGAGGGACTTAACAGCTTCTAAGGAAGTACCAGTTAATAAAGATAACAGGCGACACTCCTATAGCGGAAGAATATTTTGACATATCATACCAAAGGGACAATATTCGCCATCATTTTCGTCTAAAGCATCAGTCGGCCAAAAGTACAATTATAAATGATCATAGAATCTTTTGAACTTTGCGAAAAATGTATTTGATATCTTACGCCAAAAAAGTCCTACCGAGTTTACAGTCGAGAACTTCTCATATTTTCTTAACTCTGGATTATGAACAGAATTAATATACATCAGCGAAGGCAGAGAGACTGTTTAGTACCTGAACCTGCTGATAGGTGTTGGAGAGCAACGCAATCATCATGTTCACGAGAAGAATAACTGCCATGATTAAGAAGAAGCTTTACAGCACATGAATAAGAGAAACGGATGAATTGTCGACGGAGTTCAACCTATCCAGGTCAGCTAAACCCAGTAAAGACCAACCAAGGTGTGTCGCCATGTTCCACCAACTGAAGAACATAAGCAATGAGTTAGATCGAAACACCATTCAGTTCTTGAAATTGAAATCGTCAAGACCGCCATAAATGTTTTTAAACGTGTGTGTCCTGGAGGCCATCGTGTCACTGCTCTTACATGGATCATCGATTTCAAAATTTGCTTTCAAGATTCCTAGTCAGCTCCATCAAGTCAAATATCAACACATTTACGTGTTGGTATCCAAAATATCACCGATAACCTTAAACCTGAGGGATACCATTAATAAAAAAGAAATAGCAACGCTGAAGAAATATTACAAGATAACCTTAAACTTGAGGGATACCACTGGTAAAAAGAAATAGCAACGATGAAGTCTGGATTTTTCCAGAAGGAGAAACCGTAAGGTACCTCTTAAGAAGTTAAACTAAGAAGTTAAACTAATAGCTGGGCTGGCCTTTTGCAGGTTTAAGTGGCGAAGTAGCGTTAATTAATCGGACACGAAGCCGCGAGGGGATGCGAGGCAAAGAAGGTTTCTTCACTCGAAGCTCTGCTTCTTGTTCTAGTAAATCTGCTGCCATGAAAGGAAAGAGTGTCTTTCCTGCAAATTTTCATGATGAAGCTGGTAAAGCACGGTGTTGAACATCAGTACTTATTTTAACACATCAGTATGATTTTTTTTTTCCACTTTTTTCCTCCCGGAGACCTTAATTAACCTTTCCGACCCCTCAGGTATAGAATTTCACGCTTGAAACATTTTAAATAATCGCGGCATATTGAAAGCGCGAAATTCAAGGTTAGCAAAAATTTCGTGTAACCAGGTATATTTTAGACATCAGAGTACAAAGTTAAAATTAGAGTAGAAAAAAGCTGTAATTTTATTCTTACCAAATTAGCCCGGAATCACTGCATGCCCTAAAAATGATAGGAGAAAATGAATGGTTAAAGAAACCGTTGCCATGGTTTACGGTTTAACCAACAGAAATTGTCCCATAACCACCCCCCCCCCCCTTCCAAATTTATTTTACACGGTTGTGTTGTTCCAGAGAAATTTTTAACTAACATTCCTGAACTTATACCTCCAGAAACACAAAAAGTCAGTGTATAGCAAGTCACTGACTCCACAATTTATGACTACGACTGACCCTGCGATGATTAATGGGCACCAGGCTATCATAATTTGATTTCAAACCTTTTGTGTATTAGTGGCGCGACGAAGTGACTTATTTATTGAGGCCTCTTGTTGAAATTTCCTGCTTGAGTATTCATAAAGACTGTAAAAAATCGGCCTTCATGCTACGTTTGACATTCTGATCTGAGTAGTTTTACTCTCCTGTTAGGCCTCCCATCCAAAAAAGTAAATCTCACTTGATTAGCTTTTAGCCCACTGTTTCTTACATTGGGTACCTAAACATTCATAAGGTTCCCCTCCATAACGTAAAAGGAAAGCTCTTCCACCCCACTACTAAAAAGACTAACAAATGAATGGGCCCAACAAGTTAAAATCTGTCACTCACGGTTTCGATAATTTAGAAAGATCGCAATATGTACTCACAAATCCTCCGCGGAATCTTTTCCTGAGGTATAGGTCTTCTCAGCAACATATATCTTGGTCATAGCCAGAGAAAATGCTAGAATCATGGCCAAAAACTGCCAAAATATCGCCATTACATCCCCGATAACAAAGAACAAAGCGATTTGTATCGCACCCATTCCCCGCTTGCGCTCTATGACTTGACCAAAGGCTCTCAGTGTGAGAAACATGGCGATAAATCCATAGAAATACTCTGAGACAGCCAAGAGTGAGTTTTCTGACGCGTCCGTGGAGTTCACCCATGTAATTATGCGCAGTATGAAGGTAATCAGGTAGAAAACAAGAATGATGAAGTCAAGCACATTCCAACGGTCACTATAAAAGTAGTAGATATCAGTACTAGAAGACCATTATCTATTTAAGGGAATCCGTGAACTGCTAAACCTTTCATAATTATGAGGCAAAATAATCAGTTCTTACAAGTACACTATTTATTGTTGCAATGAGTACGAGCTAATTAATGGTGTACTAAAACAATAAAAATCGGTTGCTGTCAATGAACCCGGGCAGTGAACCATGTCACCTCATGACTAATGATAGAGCTCTAAAAAAATTACCAGTGTACCTAAGCTGAGAACAGTGGCTCATTTTGTTATCGTCTTCAAGCTGTAAACTCTTTTTCCCCATCCTTCCTAGCTGACATGCCCCCAACATGAATGAGAATCTAGTATTGTCACAAGAAACAGAAAAGAAAACGCTGAAATACCTGAAATAATTACTAAGTTTCTTTCGCAAGATATTGTCTTCTTCTGCCTCATTTGTCTCTTGTTGACCCTCTTGTGAACATACTTGGTAGCTGGAGCCATCTCTATTCCTCCTACACAGCTTACATGCTTTCATGTCAGCCTTTTTAGGACTAATAAACTGATCCACCTCCATCAAAACGCGTCCCAGGAAGAAAACTAAAATGGCCCATTCTAGTCGACTGAAGGCAATAGTTGAAGGGGACAGGCAAATGGCGAAGTGAAGAACGAGGAGGATGAGATAACTCAGCGTGTCACGGAAAAAGATGAAATAAGGAGTCGTAAAGTAATCCTTGTATTTCTCTGGAAGACATCATAGTAATCATAGTTATACTCGGTAGGACAATGAATGAGACGCGAGCTTAGAATGGAGACCATCAAAAGAAAACTCTAGAAGCACTGACGATCTGACGAAAATTATTTGGAAAAAAAAAGTTTAACGATCTGGAAATCTAGCTACCAAAAATAGCCCGTCCTCACCATAGATGGTCTTTCCCTCGATACCTGTAAGAAAGTAAAACATATCGATTATAAAGCCAGTTACACTTCCGAGCAGTGGGAGAAAAGTTAAAGCTTTTAAAATATAATACCGTTAAAAACCTTCCTCAATTCGAATTGTAACAAGTGCATGCAATACTTTCTTATTTTTTTTCCCAACCAATTAGGAGAATAATCATTCTAAGGAGGGTTTTTGATATCGTAATTTTAAACCTCTCCAGGTTACCTTGTATGACAGCTGTTCCCAACGTCTCGTGTGACTCGAATTCTCCAAAGTGACGTGCTGTACCATCTTTAGTTGCCATCTTAATTAACTCTGATAATTTGGCGTGCTCCCCGATACCGACGGGAAAGATGTTAATATTCATCTCCTTTATCTCCTCTATGAGCTGTGGACTCCCAGTGCTAGCCTTAACCATGCTTAACGAGTCATTAAGAAAGAGCACGACCACCTATTGTAAACATAAAATGAAAAAAAGGTGATATTTATTCCCTTGATTCTCAAAAAAAAATTTACAAGTTTTATCAAATATGAGCCCAAACTTATCAATCTTGAAACTACACCAGCCTTCTTATAAATTAAAGGAGCTGCTTGAATTTTTTTACAAAAAAACACTTTGAAAAACAATAATTGGATTCGCAGAGAATATTGCTGATGTGCTTGTAAGTATCTCAACTACTGACCATGGATCTATTGCATAAGTTATTTATCGTTTTGTTTATCTCACCGTTTATTGAATCTGTTCACACAACTGATAACTGTAGCTGTTATGTACATGTAATGCCAGATACGATAAATAACTAAATCATTAAAGGGTAACTGACGCCAAATGTTCTCCTTTTTTGTCCCAATACATTCTTTAAAGAATCCTACATGAGCAAATTTACGATATGTGGTGCAAAATCAAATTTTCTACAAATTTTTTTTGACGCTTAATCGACGGCCAGGTCAGGATGTGATCCGTCACACGTGTGTAAGGTAGTGAAAAGCGTCATGTCAAGACCTGAAAGTAACAACTTCGTCCCGGCTGCTCAGCTGCTGCCGAAATTTACTAGCGGAAAAAAATAAGATTTGTTCCATTCTCTTATAGGCCACCAATTAGAGACTATGAAATACGAAGTGAGAAATAAAACAACGAAGGTTGAATAATTGAAAGGCGACAGATAGCGTGCCTGTATTCAGAGCCACAGGTAGTTTGCACGCCATTCCAAACAGCTGTAAAAAAATATATGTTCCCATAATTTTTTCCTCTTAACCATTATCGAGTAAAAATTGAAAAAAATGTACCACTGTCAGCTGAGTGAACAGTAAAACAAGCTGACAGCCTGAGAGAGGAAACCATTAAAGCACATGTCATGGGAATGCCTAGCTCCTACCGTTCAAAACGCAGGCTTTGGTAAAAAAAGGAACAGAGTCGGCGACAAACTCGTGCTATGGAAATAACAAGTAGGTAATGTTTCTCAAATTACGACCTGAACTTTAAAAACTGTTATATATATATATATACATATATGTTCACGGAAAAGTTATAAAAAACTGTACTACTCTTAGCTTCGTTGACATTTACAATATGGACAGAAAACAACAAGATGTAAAACAAAGAAAACGGAAACAAGGGAAGCGCTGTGTAGTGATGTTTTGTAACAAAACAAATGCAGACGGCGTCAGCCTTCATCAGTTTCCTCAAACCCTGGATGCTGGACTATACATCTGGCTTCTGCCTACTTTCCATTGTAAAATCATCCAAATTTTTATTTTTGACTTCATCTACCTCTTGGCAAAAGATGTTTTCTTCCTTCCCCCACATTGAATGGCAGTTTCCACAGTAACACCTTGTAATTAAAAAAAAAATCAGTAAATTAGCAATTTTTTTCACGATGTTGAACAGAAGAAATAGAGAGCACAACTTGCATGATTGGTTTCACCAAAAAAGAAACAGTTATCAGCTCTGTAACTGTTAAAAACGTGAGAGATAACTCAAACTTAAGGCTACTTTACTTTATTTACAATTCTTCATGTGCGAATGCTGCATCGTGTTTTAAAGTAAAAGCCGAGAAATCTTCAATCGTTCGCCAAATTCAACACAGGAAAACTTGAAACCGATTCAATCGCGTGTGAACGTGTATAATCCATCCAATTCACCTCCACAAGCGTGTATGTTTGTATTTTTAGTCAGTGAAACCTTAGCTTCGGAAGGTGCGTGCGTGTAGCATAAAAACATTTCACTCTCACGGTATTCAAGAGTCTACACACTTGGTTTCTTTAATTGATCGCTCCTATAATTGAAAAGCAACTGATTTTCAGATCTTTTTACAATCGCAAATGCACTCACCATTCTTGCTTTCTCGATTGAGGCGGCCGCGGCGCACGGGCTCTTGATCCTCTTCTGACCCCGCCCTCTATTTTAGGTTACATTCGTCCTGGCGGTTCATATTGGCTGGGCCTGATTTCACCAACGGATTCATAAACCCTTTCATCATGTTCACTTTCCATCGAGGCCTCAAAATCCGAATAATAAGACCCCGAAATAGGACTGCTTTCACTCGAAGTACTATCCGCCATTTTTTTTTCGGTTAATGTACACACGTGTGACGTATAAGGTCACATGATCAAAATCGAAGCGTTTACGGCGGATGACTCACGAAGCTGCATTTAGGACGGTTTTCCCGGCGAAAAAAAGGTGCAAAGAGGCATACGAAGCACCTTGTATCTGTTTCAATGTGTTACTCGAGGCATTTAGACGGTATTCCGAAAAAGTGACATTTTAGCCGTCAGTTACCTCTAATATGCATGCAAAAATTTCAGCATGCTCATTGGTTGAGAAGGCGTCAGTTAATCCCAAACTGTGTAGAGAGTTGAAACTGAATGCAAAAAGTAGAATAGATTGCAGAAAGCTGAAATTAAATTGATTGAGAGTCAAGAGAGTCGCGAAAGCAAAGCAAAACAAAATGGCGGACAAGTTGGTGGAAAGTAACCACGTTTTAGTTCAAAGTTTACAGGAGAATTGAAGAACAAAAATACCCAAAAAAAGCACAAACGACTGGCTAAAAGCTTGGAAGTTTTGGGACTTAAAAGACAACTGTATTTAAAACGGACGTACCGGAGGTCTTCAACAAAATTCCCGAGGAGTTTGACGCAATAGTTCTTCTGAAAGACGGGAAGATTACTAGCCGATAGCAATCGTGAAATGGTTATTGCTTTTTACTGATACCAAGGCAAAATAGTGGGACATGTTTTTCTCATTCTGATATCTAATATAGAAAGAGCATAAACGCTTGATTATTCGTGACAGTGAGTTTAAAAGCTTGAAGTACGAGGGGAAAGCCTGAGTCCTCCAGCAAGAAGGCAAATGCCAGGGGCCGGCCCATGAGCCGTGACACTAACTAAAACGTGATTTGTGTTTATGTTTTAAACATAAATCAACTGTAGCATGCGATCTTCAAAATCAATCAATACTGAATATGAATCGGTAAGTATAACTTACCAAGGCCTGATAACCAGCCCGTGACTGCAAAATGAGCCCATAGGAACAAGTTAAGGAACAAAACTTGACAGCGCTCCGCCGGGAAAACGGTTGCGTGCATGTATTCCTCACCTTTTTGGCCTCCTTTCCAAGTGTTTGGTTTGTGAATGCACCTCGGGTGGCCATAAGATCTTCACCGAGTGAACTGGTAGAGTTTGGCAGCTGTAACTGGTTAATCCTCGCTCGAAGTGCATCCTCAGTAGTGCACCTCTCTTCAAAGTTGATGTTACCGATAATTTTGTGGTCTTCATGTAAAACAACACAGTATTTGGCAGAGTGGCAGCCATATTCACCAATAATGTAGTTTATCGTCTTTTTAATCAGATTAAATTCTTCTTTTGAGGTATCTTTGCCCAGCGTCAAAACAAAACATATTTCAGTTTCTGAAAAATGATCGAAGAAAGCATTAGAGGCTAAGTGATTAAACCACTGATCAATAAAGGAAACATGCAACACTGACTGATACAAAGCACAGCAACAACTCCCCAGTAGCTGCTTGTATCTAATCTCAAAACTTGGTTAGAACGGTCCCAACCATTCTTAAGACCGTTATGATCAGGTGGGAACAAATACGGGGCCTGTGAACGCTCCTTGAACGATGTATCCTGCAGAACTGGCGCAGTTTTTCGCAAGCACGAAGCGCGTTTCACGTGCCAGGGAAGAAATACGTGACCCGCACCTCGCGCATAGTTTTAGCCAGGACTCCTGTATTGTTTCAGTTGAGAGGACTCAGTTTGCATGGTAACTCAGTTTTATGGAGTTAGGAATAAAATACAGAAAAGCCATCACCCTCCACTCCTCACCCCTCTCCCCCTCAGGCCCAAACCTTTTGAATACTTTAGAGCTTGCTGAAAACGCATTACCATGTAATGCTAGCAAAACGATATTACAAACCTCTTTTCCTCCTCAAGGCCTGTTTTATCAAATGCACGACGAAGAAAATGGCAAAGAGAAAGGGAAAAAAGACGATGTCAAACACTGTCCAGAGGTTGAGAAAAAAGTATCCCCAGCGTTGAGGTTTCCGCCATGATTCTTTTCTTACGTGAAAAAAGGATTGGTACCATCTGGAGTTGAGCAAGTTATACACCACTGGGTGAGAGATGAACTGCGAAAAAATTCGTCGATACATTATTTTACGCAATGAGCTGAATTTGGACTGGTTTTTGCTTATTACTTATCAGAGGAGAGCCTCATAGGGGACGTCACGAATAACAACGTTTGGCTTCATTTAATTCAAAACAATTCTAACGACATATCAGTGACACACCCGGCCGCGCGTCATGTGCCACCTTTTTGCTCTTGCCACATTTTGACGTCACGACTGTGATCTACAACAGAATAGAGCTGCTAAATCAAGGGTCTGAAAGATTTCTTAGGAATAAGTAATACAATTCAAGTTGAAAACTAATTTCTGGCCGGATCAGCTATGGCGCCCGGCGGTGGGCATGTTCAGCCTGATGTGTGTCATTAAATCATTCAGTTTAACGTCACATTATTCAATAGATTCACTAGAGTATAAATTTCTTTCACTGGAAATTGATTAATTGTTTCTTTGTACATACAGTAGAAAGACATAAAAATGACGTCCTGTACATTGAATCACAGGCGGCCCAAGCTCTAGCTGTGAGATTATCATCTTGCGCAATAACAGTCATGGCGGAACTATGAGAGTTTGTATGGGAATATTTCCGACCGCTTTAACGAATTAAAAAATACGTCAAATTCTCATGATTGATTGAATTAGCACTAAGTTTACCGTGACATTGTGTGCATAAATCTTGAAAATATATTTTCCCCTTTGTAATATCCGATATTACACCCATATAACCACCGGTGAGGAGGCTTTATGTGGCACACAAAGCGTCCTCACTGGTGGTTATTGGTAAGGAAAGAAGAGAGACAACAATGTCCCCAATATAGCACGTAAGGGTAAGGGCACCCGTGTGTTCAGATGGGCGAGAGCATTCCCACTAGAATCGACTTTAGGGGTAAAGGATATCATAAAGTGTTGATTGGAAACCTTTTTATCACCCGTGTAGTACCTTCTTCTGCTCCGTGTCAATTGCCTTGTCCACCAGATCATCAAAACAACTTTGAAATGTATTTCTGGTATCGGCGTCGGCTTTAAGGGGATCTATCATGGCTGATGTGAACTCGCACATAGATTTTTCAAGCTTTTCTATATCGTCTTTCTCCGGGTTTGCACCATCTGCTAAATCTCGCAGTGCTTTGTTGACCTAAGTTTAAAAAGAAATGAAGTTATCGTTTTTATGAAACGGCTCGTAAAAATCAATGATGTTGACAGAAAAGTAGAGATGGTAAGTTTTAAGCTCGGTGAAGAATTAAGAAAGATGTTTTTTCGTTCAAAAATAAGGTTCGATTCCACATGGTGACTCAGAATTTTTTCTTTGTCCCACGCTCGTGACAAGACGAAAAAACATCTTTCTTAATTCTTCACTGAGCTTAAAACTTACCATCTCTACTTTTCTGTCAAAAACATTACGCTATCGACATTGCTGATCCTAGCAGTATGCAGGATGCGTGTCATTAGAACTTCGTAATAGACACCGCTCACCGAAGAGTCCTTGTGGCTCAGTGGTAGAGCATCGAGGCGCAAATCCGAAGGTCTGAGGTTCGATTCCTCATGGGGACTCAGAATTCTTTTCTTTGTCCCACGCTCATGACAAGACGAAAAAACATCTTTCTTAATCGATGATGTTGTTTCTGATTTCTTATTAGCCTCCAGCTGTTGAAGATGGCAGGAGGGTTTTTTCAATTGTCCTTTGAAAATTAGTACACTGAAACCTCGATGACCAATAAGAAAGAAAACAAGATATAACTGCAAGTCAGTGCTACTTCAAGGTTACAAGTACACTCTCAGACAGTGAACAAGTAACAATTGGTTGTAGTTTTGACGCTAATTAGTAGAGAGAGCGGTATGCGCATGACGAACTAATCATATGGAGAAGTGAAACAAAATCTATGTGATTAGGATCACTTTTGTCACTTGGTCTGGCTAAACAGCCCTGAGTAAATTATGGCGGTAAAATAGGTAGAGATAAAGTTACAAGACCAACCTGGAAAGATTTGATTAAGGTATTAGTTTTACACCTTGCCAGGGTTTTTGGAGTCACCGTTTGATCAATCGCATCGAAATCACCCTTACTCAGAACATCATCCAGATCCTTCTCTATCTCTGTAAAACAATCAGATACACACAAGAATGATTCACAAGTATGGACATTTTTCAATTTAAACAACCACCGAAAAAAGCAGTAAGTTTGAATTTCGCCACCCTCTCAATGTAGCCCTCGTTCCTCGTGTGATGAACAGTCTTTGGGGAAGGAATAAACTTTGAATAAACGAAATGAATGCATGTTGACTCAGTAACACAATTACACCAATGTTTTAGGAGTCTGTTTATTTGCGTCTTGAGTTTGTGTCTCCCTTGACGCCCTCTTTCACTTACCTTCATGTTGAGATTGTTGATTAGAAGCATCAATACCCCCATGCTCGTCCTCTGGTTCTATAAATAGGTGAAAGAAAGGAAATTTATATCAAATTTTGCCACTTTTTTTTTCAAAGGTTGATCATGAGTGACGTCAAAATATGTAGAACGAAAAAAAGGTAGCACATAAAGTAAAGGCGCCTGCGTATGTCGCTGATGTTTATTTTTTTGTTTTTGTTTTTAACCAAATTTTGACGCCATTGTTCATCTATAAGTAGGAATACGCTTAGTCGTACACGCATTTAGATTAATTATTCTTATCATCTATCAGAGGACAGACACAGACGAGTCAACATCGCAACAAATAAGCTTAGTCCGAAAAATAATCGCAACAGTTGTCAAACTGTACACTATATTTGCTGAGGCGGATGCAAAACAGCCTATTTGGTGATTATCCTCATCACTATTCCAACCCAATCGTTTAGATAATATCTTTCATATTCAAGACAAACCAAATTGACTGCATCTACAAAATTCTGTAACGGGTGGTTCAATAATGAATCAAGGAACGTTATCATAAAGGCCACCAATCCCTGTAAGACTCTCTGTGATCATACATACCAAAACCAGCAGGAATTTCCCCCTCGACCTGATCCTGATCAACGCATGTTACTATGGAAGCCTCGATATCAAGTTCTGATGATGGCCTCCTCACAGGCTCGGAAGCCACAGGCCCACGGTCATCTCTTACCACTAGTTCTTCAGGAATTACTGACAGCTCCACTTCCTCTAGTGAATCAGATCTAAAGCACAATTCACCCCATGGAATCAGTTCTCAAGTATTCTAGTCACCAATGGCGTAAAGCCTGGTTTTCATTCGCGACGTAAGCACATGTTCGAAACGAACATGAACCTTAAGGCGCATTAGGAAATATCTTCTAGAGAATCTGCAGAAATATTAGTTCATGCATTAGTTATGGGAAGAATGGATTATTGTAATAGCCTTCTTTTAAGAGTGCCTGATATTTATTTAAATAAGCTGCAAAGAGTTCAAAATACAATGGCCAGGTTAGTTTGCATTGTTCCTAGATTCTGTCATATAGCACCAGTTTTAGGTTCTTTGCACTGGTTGCCAGTTAAATTGGAATTAATTTCAAAATTTTAGTCATTACTTTTAAGGCTATTAATGGCCTTGCTCCTAATGACATATCTGGTCTTATTAAGATAATACAGCCTTTGAATTATAGTTTGCGCTCTAATTATGAGCTTTTATTACAACCACTAACCACTGGAGCGAAGAAAACTTTAGGTGATAAGGCTTTTGCCAGTGCAGCTCCTAAACTCTGGAATGGTTTTCCTGGTTCAATTAGAAATGCAAATATAACTTAATTAAATTTTCATAATTGATATTTAGTTTTAAAGTTTTTATTCACTTTTATAAATTTTTGCTCTGTGTTGTTTATATTATTCTATCGTTTTGTATATTTTGATGCAGGGCCTAGTATCTAATTTTTATCTAACATTTATATTTCTATTTATTTTTATTATATTTTTGTTATCACGCATTTGATCATATGCACATGTAAAATGCGCGTTACAAATAATAAATATTATTGTTATTATTATAATTATCAAGTCCAAGCGTGAGCACAAACACACTTATAAGTAAAATATACCAAGTGGAAACGAACGTCGACGAGCACAAGCACTAGTACAAGAAAAGGCATGCACTTGTTTGTATGCTTGCATCGAGGTCGTTTTCATGGTGAAATAAGGGCTCTTATGCCTACATTTGTGCTTGCGCTTATGCTTGCGTCGCTAGTGAAAACCAGGCTTTATAGAAGAACAAATAATGAAACTTCCAAAAACGACTGAATGCACATAACTACGAGCCTGAGAAAAACATTACTGTTTAAAAATGTACGAAAATGTCAGTATGATTTGGTGAAGATTTTATGTTCTCGAAACTGAAGAAATCCTGGTATTTCATCCGCAATATCTGTACACAAGAGACTAAGTATTGTTTATAATATCTTGCTATACGATAAACCGAGAAAAATTTGAAAAAGGTTTCAATTTCCAAGTAGATTGCGAGCAAGCCCACCTTTTCGGCGAAGTCCGTTGCGCGAGTCTGAAAAAGTCAGCCAAAACAAGAATGTTAGCGCGCCACGCGAAGTCAAGGAACTAAATATTAAAAATGTTTTCAGCAAAGTTATCTAAGTTTCGGTAAAGGATATGACCATTAGACCGTTTCGCACTAGGAAATATAACTAATGCTGTAGAAAAGTGTACAGTCGAACCTGTATTTAGCGGTCACTCACGGGGAATGGCGGGATGACCGCTTGATACAGGTTCCACGGATTAGGAGTATTACAAACAACGCCACTTTATGCCATAATTTACCACTTAATATACAGAATCTCGCTCTTTGATTTTGCTACTTTGATCTCGCTACTTTGATTTTGGGATTAAAAGTTACTTGAAAGATTATATTGTACGGTAATTTTATAAAAGGGTCTGTTCCCAACTGCTGATATTGGTCCTTTTTTGTTTATTTTGCTATACTTGAGTGGTGCACTTAGTCAAACATTATCACCACAGACCTCTCGCTAACTAGCGCTGGTCAAGATTTTCTTTCCCGCGGGCGAAGAAACACAAAAGCCGAAGCGTCCACGATGAGGGCATTCCTGCAGGCTATGCTAGCTGATTTATGCATTAGATGTTCTAGACTCTCACGCCTCTCTATATAAACGGAGCTGTTGAATTCAATAAAACAGTGTGTTCAAAGTGACTTCTACAGTTTCTGTTGCAACTAAAATGCAATGATCCTCTTATAAAAATAAATAAATAAAAAACAACTATTATTGATTACGAAAACAACTTCATCGCTTTGTAAAAATGACATCGTCACAGAATTTAATTTGTGAGCCACTCAAGAGAACGTGATAAAAGAAACGAATCAAAAACCACAAACAGAGCCGTAGTCCCACAGGAAATCAATAACAGCGTTGCTATTGTATCTTGTTTCTTCTCAGTGTGCATAATGAGTGAGGGGCAAAGCGGAAATTTTGCTCAACCATGTTTTAAAACCACCTTCGCTAAATCAGGACCGAAAGAAAAAACGCGTTTAGAACTAAGACCAGGATTTCTTTATGAGAACTAATTTTAAAAGAATATAAGACCTCAACAAAGTTTTCTTTCTTACGTGGTAACTCATTTCCAAGTCAATCTTAGTGAAAGTAAGTTTGCATAGAGTTTTTCCGCAATATTCAACACCTCAAGTCTACTGCAGAACAGAGCTGAGTCGAATCAACTCCGAATGGGAAACCCATTTAATCTGTGATTTTCCACACAACTAACAATCTCTCCTAAGTTCAAGACATAACGTTAGCCGCAAATGAGAACTCGCTGTGACGAAATAATTCAATCAAAACATTGACAATCATTACTTACTTCTCACAATTCCCAGGGTCGGTCATTATCTTCCTTTGCAAGCCGCGTGAAAATCCCTATGGATTATATGCTGGAATAGAGTTCTACAAAATAGTAGCTGTAACGAAGAATCGATTGGCTTCTAGTTTTCTTTCCTCAACCCGTTTACAATGAGTGAGTACAAAAATTAACGCATACACGTATGCAGATCAAGGCTGAAGTGCACAAAAATCTCGACGGTGATTGGTCAATTTGCAGCAAGCCTCACTTTGGAAGTGAATT